CTTCAATCTCATGTCAGCAGAGCACAGCACATACAGGGTAACTTGGCTGAGCTCTGAGGCCACCATCTTTCCTTTATCTTGGGATCCTCCTTGCAGATTCACAATAGGCAGTCCTCTATCCCTACAGCAAATCACATGCAATAATGTTTCTTTCAGCATTCATTTTAGGGAGAGCTTTATGCCTCCTAAAGAACTAGTCTGCCTCCTGCTCTCCCCTAACTATAAGAACAAGAAGACTGGGCATAATTTCTCTTTTTGCTTTGATGGCCAGGAAGCTCAGAGTGGAATCTGAACCTCGTTATTGCTGCCACGTTTGCATGTGTGGTCAGCCTGTGGTATTCCCTTCTTCCCCAGGCCTCGGTTTCAATGTATATTTTACTGTGTCATTTGTGAGCTGCCTTAAAATTGGTGAGACTTCTGTTTTACCCTTGGCTTTCCTTCCATGACTTCTTTACTCAAAAAGCCGCCTTCTGTTCTTATTTTATCAGACTCCTGCCTGGATTCGAACAGGGGTGTGGGGTGGGGCTGCAGTGCAGAAGCTTTGTCACTAGAGTCAGGAGGTGAGCTCCCAGCCCAGGCTTTGTGCTGCACGTGCTGAGCAACTTTAGACATATGGCGTGCTCCCTCTGGCTTTCAGTTTCTGTCTGTAAAACGGTGGGCTGTGACAAAGTCTACCCAGCATTCTTTCCATTCTAGAGCTCTGTGAGTGTGTTATAGCTCCTGTAGGTACTTGGGATAAATGCAGGGGAGGGGTGCACACTAACTCCAGGATCCTAAGAACCGCAGCAGAGATCTGAAGAAAAGAGAGTCCATGGGGTCATACTTTAAAGCTGGAACCTCAGGAGGAGGCGGTGGCAGGAGAGGAGCCAGGCTGCGGCTTGACAGCTCTATCAGCTGGGAAGCCCAGGGAAGCATATGCTGTGGCCAAGGTCGTTGAAGGACCTCCACCTGCCAGGAGCCACTTGCCAAGCAGCTGCCAAGCTGGGGCTAGCACCAGGGCCCCTCTGTCCCCCACACCTCCCCATGGCTGTCTGCAGAGGGGCAGCCTTGGCACAGCTGTGGAGGGATGGAAACCACTGTTGCCCCTGCTGCCCCTCTCCATGTAGGAGGCTTGCCAGGCATTGGCCTGGAGAGCCACCCCAGGGCAGTCGGCTCGGCAGAGGGTGCCGGTAATTTCAGAGTCACCACCTGGGCTTGCTCTGACTTGCACTAAAGCAAGGAATAATACCTCTGAGAAAGGAGAAAATATCCCCTATAAGAGGTAGTGGTAGCAGTAGTAATGGCAAGAAATGTTCTGTCCTCTATTTGTCTAGAATTCCCCCGTTGCTCCATTCATTGCCTTGGTTGGATAAGGCAGGGTCAGGAGGGTGGTTCCCACCGAATGCATGAGGCAGCTGAGACTCAGGTCAAGGGTGCAAGGTCACCGACAGGGACCATGTGATGTGGCTTGAGGAGCTGAGGGTCTCTCAGTGCTGGGCCCGCACAGCACCTGGGCTAGTGAGCAGGATGCAGCAGCTGTTGGAAGAGTTGAACACAGTGGTCCTCATGGTGAGGGCTTCCCCTTTGCCCACATGGCTGATTCTTGGAGGGACATGGAGAGACTTACACTGTTTAGGGAGAAGACACATGAAGAATTTCTTTTTGAACAATCTTCCTTGCTCTGCTCACCTCCTGTTTCTGTGATGTCCACTTGCTTTTTTTCAGGAATATATTATTTTATTTATTGTCTTTTTATTGAAGTATAGTTGATTTACAATATTGGGTTAGTTTCAGGTATACAGCTTAGTGATTCAGTATTTTTTTCAGATTATATTCCTTTAGGTTATTACAAGATAATGGGCATAATTCCCTGTGCTTTATAGTATATCCTTGTTGCTTATCAATTTTATATATAGTAGTTCGTAGCTGTTAATCCCATACCTCTAATTTGTCCCTCCCCCTTCCCTCTCCCCTTTGGTAACCACATGTTTGTTTTCTACATCTGTGAGTCTATTTCTGTTTTGTATATAGATTCATTTATATTAGTTTTTAGATTACACATATCAGTGATATCATATATTTGTCCTTCTCTGTCTGACTTATTTCACTAAGCATAATATTCTCTAGGTCCATCCACATTGTTGCAAATGGCAATACTTCATTCTTTTTTATGGCTGAATAATATTCATTTTGTGTGTGTGTCTGTGTGTGTGTGTGTATATATATGTATATATACCATTCCTTCTTAATCCAATCGTCTGTTTATGAGACTTGGGTTGTTTCCATGTCTTGGCTATTGTAAATAGTGCTTCTGTTGAATGTTGGGGTGCATGTACTTTTTCAAGTTAGTGTTTTTTCTGGATATATACCTAGGAGTGGAATTGCTAGATCATATGGTAGTTCTACTTTCGGTATATTAAGGAACCTCCACACTGTTTTCCTCAGAGGCTGCACCATTTTACATTCCCGTCAACAGTATACAAGGGTTCCCTTTTCTCCACATGCAATGTTCTGCTTTTATGGAAGCATGAGGAGCCCAGGATACGGGGATGTAACCCCCACATCTCCACCCTGGTATTTTAGAATCTCCTGGGAAAGTAGATTTTTGCTTTTTCATGCAGCATAGAGGTATGTGTCCCAGTTCTCTTGTACTATGAGACAGTCATGATGCAGTAGAAATGCAGGCACTCATGACCTAGACGTCCAGGTGTGACCTTGAGTGATCTCGAAAGCTCCGCAGCTTCAGGTTTCCCATGTGTCCTGTGGATCAGTCTCCACCTGGCCTCCCTCCACAGGGAATTTGTGAGGATCAGATGAGGTTGGGGTTATGCCAGACCTTCAAAGGGTCAGTCTTAGTCGCCTGTCTCCTCCAGGCTGACCCAGAGTCAGGAGGACCAGGGCAGTACCTGCCCTGGGCCCAGCTGCCTGAAGTCAGGTAGAGGCAGGAGGGCTGCTTCTAGTTCCTGTCCTGTCACTACTTGCTGAGCCATCCTGGGCCATTCCCTTCCCCTTCCTGAACCATGCCTGTCCTTTTACAGTGGTTCATTTTAAATATATATTATATAGATTATTTTTGTTTTTTATTGATATATAGCCACATACTATAAAATCCACCCTTTTAAAATGTACAATACAAAGGGTTTTAGTATATTCACAAAGTTGTGTATCTGTCACCACTATCCAACTCTAAAACATTTTCATCAATCCCATTAACAGTCATCCCCTCTTCCTCCTTGGCCCAGCCCTTGGCAACCGCTAATCTGCTTTCTGTCTATGGATTTGCCTATTCTGGCCACTTCATATAAATGGAATCACGATATGTGGCCTTTTGTGTCTGGCTTCTTTCATTTGGCATAATATTGTCAAGGTTCATCCATGTTGTAGCGTGTATTGGTACTTTATTCCTTTTTATGTCTAAATGATGTTCCATCGTATGTATAGGCCACATTTTGTTTGTCCATTCATCCGTTGATGGACATTTGGGTCATTTCCTCCTTTGGGCTGTTGTGAATAGCGCTGCTATGGACATCCCTGTACAAGTTTTTGTTTGAACACCTATTTTCTATTCTCTGGGGGTGTATACCCACTAGTGGAATTGCTAGATCATTTGGTAATTCAATGTTTTACTTTTTGAGGAACTGCCAGACTGTTTTCCACAGTGGCTGTACCATTTTACATTCCCATCAGCAATACACAAGGGTTTCAATTTCTCTGCATCCTCGCCTGGACTTGTTATTGTCTGTCTTTTTGATTATAGCCGTCCTAGTGGATGTGAAATAGTATCTCGTTGTGGAAAATATATATTACTTAGATTTTTAACCTGCAAAACCCTTTTAAAAATGTAGTCTTACTTCAGACCTTCCATATGTAGAACAGGTACAAGAGGAGTCTCTCGAGATGAAATGGGGAAGGAGGCCTGAGCCCACCCCCTCATAGTCCCAGAGACAAGTTCTCCAGGTGGTTTGAAGACCACTGGCTCCTGGTGCCCTCCAGGCTCTGGAATCTGAGTCGAACCACCAGAGACTACCTGCATAGCAGACGCCTCAGCCCTCACGCCCATCCTGGTTGCCTTGGGAGCCCTCGCAACATTTGGCCAAGCTGTGGGTCTGCCCTGCGCTGTGCTGGGGTTGCCACAGTGAGAAGGAGTCCAGTGGCTCCATCTATGGTTCCAGCTCTGAGGACAGCTTGTGTAGCAAACAGGAAGCAAACTGGAGAAATGCCACCACTGCCCCCCTTCCCAAGTCTAGGAAGAAAGGTCCTGGTTTTGCTGATAGTAGAGAGAAGCATAGTGGCTGATGAGGTCGTGAAGCCAATGGAAGGTTTGCCAAACTCCTCAGCCATGAGTAGCCCTCATAGCACTGATCCTCTGAGGTCCAGAGAGGTCGGCTGGAACACTCCCAGGCCCGTCTTCCATGTCCCGCTTCCCTCTGCATTAGCATTCTAGGAGCACCAGGCGTTCTACTGTTTGAGGGTGGAATGTTCTGCATTCTAGTGTTGCCTTGGCAGAGACAAGATTCCTCCCAAGTTCTGTTCTATTGGTTGCATTGCTCTGCTTTCCACAATTGTGAGAGGCTTGAGTCATCAGACACAGATTGTTCTGTTGCTTTGGATTTTAGGATAGCTTTCTTCTCTTATTGATGGCTAATTCTTCGGGGAAAAAAGATAATTTATAGTGCATACAGGGACTTTCACTTAGCTAGGATATTAGATTAACCTAGTGCCTGGTTTCTCCCCCATGACTTGCTGATTGAGCAAAATGCCATAGTGTCTCTTTGAAGAATGCCGCTTCCTAGTTTTACAGATGTAGAAACTGAAATCCAGGAGTCCTAGTAACTGAAAGGGAAGAAAGCATCAATTAGAACTCTATTTCATTTACAGCCCTAGAATCAGAGAATGTTGGATCCAGAGGTGTCTTTGAGACCATCTAATCCAACCCCTTGGTCTATCAAATGTGCCTGTTTAACTCATTGCGTTTCTAACAGTTGTGTGTTGATTGTGTTTATTTTTATGAAATTCCTCAGAGGGGGGTGTTCCCTGAGTTTCAACCTAAGGCATGGCACGCTAAGTGGTCAAGAGAGTAAGTGACGGGTGAAGTCCCAAGACAAAAGTCCTGTAGGGCAGAGCCTTACAGAAAGTGTGACGTGTGCATGAGGGCAGGGCAGGGCAGGGCAGGGCACGTGCTGTCGGCTGGGCAAACGGCCTTTGCAAAGATGTGGGAGCAACGAACAGGGCTTTCCTCTGGGGTCAGCAAGCAGCTGAGAGCAGGTTGGAAAGGGTATAGACAAGAGGGCCTTGAATGCCAGGATCAAGAGTTTTGCCCTAATTTTTACTTAATCGGGGGCCTCTGATGAATTTTGAGAAGGCTCCAGGCCCCTTTCTCCATTGCTCCTGCTGCTGCCCTGACCCAGGCCCTTCTAATTTCTTGATAACCTCCTAACTGGTCTCCCTGCCTCTATTCTTGTCCCTTTCCAGCTATAGTCCACAAAGGCCCCCTACGCAGGGGCTTTCTAAAATGCAAGTCTGATTGTGTCTGTCCCCCTTTTAAGGCCCTTCCATGGCTCCCTGTTGCTCACAGGACAAGATCCTGGCTTTTGTGGCTCGGTGTGGCCTGGCCCCACCTTCCTCTACAGCCTCAGGCCCACTGTGCCTCTGCCTCCACTAGGCCCCCTAGTTTCCTGAGCAGCCATGCTATTGAATTACTCACGGCTTTTGCCCACGCTTCTCCATCCCTCCCGTTCACTTTCTCTGCCTGGTGACCTCTTATTCACCCTTTAAGACTTAGTGTAAATTTCCTTTTGGAGACGCTTTCCCTGACCCTCCTGAAGCCACTATTATGCCTTGAGTCTTTCTGTTTTGAAGCTCACATTGCATTGCAATTATCTAGTGCCAAAATCCTGGGAGTTCCCATTTTCGAGTGTTTATTGTGTGGAGGTGCATTCTGTTACAGCCCCACTTACAGATGAGGAAGCTAAGGCTCAGAGAATTGGTGTGACTCGCCCACTGCCTGCAGCTGGAGGGTGACAGAGCTGGGATTTGAGCCCAGATATCTTTGACTATTTCTGACTCCTTCCATCTCCTGTTCCCTGGATCCTGCTATATCTCCTGAACCTCCACTGTTCGGTGTGTGAGGCACTAATCAAAGGGGTAGATGCAGCAGGGTTGCCATGGTGTGGGCAGGATGGGGAAATGGGGCTGGGCTTAACCTGGGGTGGAGGTGATAAGCAACTGTCAGCCCAGCTCCCCACAGCTAGGGGTTTCCTTTCCACCTTCCATTCCAAGCGGCTACCTGGGGACAGGCCTGCGGGACTCCAGGCCGAACAGGTGGCATGGAGACAAACGGCATGGCAATCTGCCTCCTCTCTGGGGCCCAGAGAGGAGGGAGGACCTGAGAGAGCCCAGGGTGCTCACTGACACTTCTGGGCTAGATCCTGGGGAGGCAACTCCCTTTGGGCCTGGGTGTCTTCTGCCCTCCCAGAGGGACCCCAGCCTGCAAGGTCCCGTCCCAGCAGGGGAAATGCCACTTCCACCTCTGTCCCAGATGAATGGCTGGCTTTGGCCTCCCAGGAGACTGTCTGCTCCAACCAGGTACAAATGCCATCCCCTTCCCACCCCCACCCCCCTGGCCAGAGAGGAAGGAAGAGGGAGCGAGAGAGGAGGGAGGCGTGGGGTTGCCAAGCAAGGTAGGAGCAGGGACAGCGACAACAAAGCCCTCATTGTATCAAGGCCACACGCAGCTCCAAGGCAAAGCAGGCATCGTTCCCGCCTCCCAGGACCTGGGCCTAGAGCTCCACCCGGAGTTTCTGAGCTCCTTAGCAATGCTCACCAGAGCTGGCTTGGAACAGCGAGGCCCTGCCTCAGCTCTGAGTCCTGCCTCTGCTGAGAAGTCCTCCTGAAATCACAGCATCCTTCCAAAAGCCAGAAGTGGTGATGGGAGGATGGCCAGTGAAGCCAGGCTGGCTGGGGCTAGAAGCCAGGGTCTGTTGGACGTGCAGCTGTGTGACCTTGGACCCAAATGTGATAAAAAATCCTGCCTTGAAGGATTTTTATTTGAAGTAATGGACCAAGGCACATAAAAGCACTCAGCACGGTCACCTGGCCGCAGAAGTGTTCAATCAGTGACAGGTGATCCTTGAAGCCCTCGTCCACCCACGAGCAAGGACTGTCAGCCCCTCCCAAGCTGCTCCTAGTTGAGGCCCTCCTGTGCCCAGGAGGTGGTGAGCCATTGGTGGCCTTCCTGGCAAGTGTGGAGTAGCACTGTTGTCCCCTCAGCCCCTGTCTCACTGTTCCTCCTCCAGAAGCCGGCCCTGCAGTTCCAGGAGGCCCCGCCTGGGCAGTTGGGGCATGGTGGGTGGGATGCATCGCCAAGCTGGGGCGAGCAGCTCAGGTGACAGGTGGGGTGTCGGCGGCTCCTGTGCCTGGCACCTGACACCTCTAGGCAGACAATGCTGGCAATGTCCGAGCCCTCCAGGGAACACGCCACGTCTGTGTCACAGCCAGGAAACAGGCCACCTGAGTAGCGCCGTTGTCCACTCAGGACGCAGCCCCGCCGCTGGCCGGAATGACCGGGATCCCCAGAGGCCCTGACGTGGGAAGGGGTGGTGCCCTGGGCAGGGGCTCTGGGGTTTGAGACCCAGCCCCTCAGCATCTGGTGTTGGCCTGGTTCAGCTGTTGGCCCTGCCACACTGGGGCTGGGACTTGGGCAGGCCGTTCCCTCTCGGGTTCCTCATCTGTAAAGGGACTAATCACAGCACTTCCTCATAGGGTTGTTGGGAGGAGTCGATGGCATAATGTACGTAATGTGGTTGGCACGGGGTCTGGTGTGGAGCAGGGCTTGGTCACTGCTTCTCTCCCCGCATGGGGGAAGGTCCAGCGCACTGTGTCCTTGGCTGAATCTCCTGTAACCCAGGCTACTGTCCTTAGTTCTCGCTCTGAGCGTGGAAGGAGGGGACTAGGGTCTCTGGAGCTGGCACAGCACTAGCACATTGGCTGCAAAGAGCCCAGGCCTCTCCACCTTGGACTCCAGGAGCTCTGGGCTAATGCCCTGTGCAGGCCTCCTTCCACAGTAGCCAACACCAGCCCAGGATGGGGCCTCTCCCCTCCTTAAACTTCTGTAGGGCTGGCTGCCCTTGGAGCCCAAACCTCTACCCAGGAAAGGGGCCTTGGGATTCCTGGGCAGGAGGCCAGGTCTGAGTCTCTCTACTGATTTGTCAAGAGGGCCAAGGATGGATCTCTGCAGGCATGGTCACTTCCTACTGGGTCCAGCCTACAGAGACACCCCCTGGGAGCAGGGAGGAGTCCTCATCTCCCATCTGTCTCCTTCCTCATTTGCTTTGAGCCTGTGCCCTGAGTTCCTGGTGCACCCCACAATGAGCATGAGCATTTGCATGGATGGGTGTGGGCATGCCTGTGTGCAGCGTGTGGACAGTGGGGGGCGGGGCAGGTGAGGGCTGCATGTCCTGCATTGTGGGCAGGCCCCCTGAGCATGTTCACTGAGCCATGTGTGGCATGCCTTGGAATGGAGGGGACGTGGTACCTTTTCATATTCGCGTGTATCCATATGTCTTTCTACACGTGTGTGGTGTGTTGGTCTGTCTTATCTCCCCTGTAGACGGGAAGCCCCGAGCCACGCACCAGCAGGCACTGTGACAACGTGACATCGAGACTAGCGCAGCCTAATCTGGGGTTCCTGGTCCTGCTCCAGGAGTCCTCCAGTCTGCAGCCTCCGCCGAGGGAGGATTGACTAGCGTGGGGGTGGGGGTCCGAGAGTCAGGGGTCTGGGGGCCTGGCTTATAGCTTAGAGGACTCAGTGCTGGGCCGAGCCAATTAGGAGGCCCTGCCCCAGTGTCAGTGACCTTGGGTGAGGCCTTTGTGTCTCTGGGGCACATTCACTCATGTGGAGGACACGGGATCGGGCTGACGATTTCTGCCCGCCCTGAGGCTCTGATGATCATGATTTTACGTCGGGTGGTGGGGTGAGAGCCTGCTGCATTTGTTGGTGGAGGCAGCTGTGGCCTGAGCCTGGCCTGCCAGCCCCCAGCTCGGTCCTGGGTGTCCTGCTGAAGGGTGAGAGGAGAAGCCATGCCGGGCAGCGGCCCCAGCGAGAGGATGACGTGGCCGGGCCCGGCCCCCCCCGCGGCCCCCCCAACCCACCCTCTCTCCTCAGCCCCGGGGACACCGCCCATCCCGCCCCTCACCCGGACCCACAGCCTCATGGCCATGTCCCTGCCAGGCAGTAGACGGGCCTCTGCTGGATCCCGCAGGTGAGTTTCCCCAATGCCCGGAGCCTTGGCCTCTGAAGGTGGGGGCAGGGAGGGTCTCTGTCTCCAGTCCAACACCGGCTTGTTTTTGAGCAAGTTGTTGCCCCAGTTTTCCCATCTTTAAAATGGGTTTGCTGACACTGGCCTCAGGAACTATTTATGGGCTCAAATGACACAGTGGGTATAAAAGTTTTCTGAAGACTTAAACCATTGGATCCCTGCCGTCACCAGTATTGTTGTTCGATCTTCACAGTTACTGCAGGGACGGCATGCAGCCTTCCACCCAGGCTCCCCTGGCCTCCCCATGCGCCCCTCCTCCTGTCCCTCCTCCTGCGGGCCCCATTCCTCTCCACCTCTGTTTCAGTCCGTGCAGGGACCTTTCCCTCTGGGCTTGGGGGACCCTGGAAGTTGAGGACCCTTGGTAGGGGTAGCTGGGACCCCACCCTTGGCCCGCAGCCCTGCTCAGCCTTCTGGGGAGTCCCGAGGACCGGCCTCCTTCTGGTTTTCCACCTTGATTTGCACTGTCTGTTCTGTCACCCCTGTCTGTGCATCCCCCCGCCATGCTTCTCTCCCCGGCGGTGACCCTGAAGTGGGGGCCCTTTGGGCCGCAGCGGCCTGGCGGTGTTCGCCCAGTGTCCGCAGCTGCCCACCAGCCAGAACGAGCACCTGCCTCTTCTTCCTGCCTCCAGGCGCACCTCTCCCCCCGTGAGCGTGCGGGATGCCCACGGCACCTCTTCCCTCAGCAGCAGCAGTAACTCGGGCTCCTGCAAGGGAAGTGACAGCAGCCCCACGCCCAGGTAACCAGCTACTCCCTCCCACCCGGCCTGGCCAAGCTGGCTGGAACCCTGAGTGCCCTGGGGGTCGGGGGAGGTGGGCGTTCTAACCATCCCCAACTCTAGCACACTTCCCCGCTGTGTGACCTTGAGCAGGTCACTTCTCTCTGAGCCTCAGTTCCCATCTGTAAGATGGGTGTGATCATACCCAGCTGCACGTAACCAAAGTCAGTAGCTGAGACAAACTGGGGATGATGCTTTCAAAACAAGGGGCCAGAGGCGGGCAGCTCCCCGAAGTGTCAGGGACCCCATCTCCACCATCCTTGGTGTACAGCTGGCTCCTACACCTCTAGGCATCAGGTCAGCATCCAGGAAGGAAGAAGGTGGAAAGACCAAAGCCCCTGAACCCCCAGAGACTCGTGTTTTTGAGACAGGACACGTTGCCCAGGAAATTCTGTCTATGCTGTGCTGGCTGGTGCCAGGTATGACTGGCCACAGGGAGAGTTAGTGGTTCCCAGTGTAGGGCCACCCAAGCAAACTGGGAGTTCTGTTGGAGAAAAGGCAAGAATGGATATTGGGAGGCAACTCACGGCGTCCGCCAGCCTGCTCTTCTAGGTGGTACACTGTGAGGGTGGCAGACTGGAGTTGTTCTAGAGAGTGAAGTGTGTTACAAGTGCAGCATGTGCTTTGGGCTCTCAGCAAAGAGGAAAGGCAGGATCGGGCTGGGGAGACGGGTAAGGAGAGCAGTGGGTCCTCAGAGACCAGGACGTGCAGGCTGTGATGGCGGCGCCCATCCTGCTTCCCAGGAGCGCGAGGGGGGAGCACGGGCTTAGGATGTGATTCAGTCTGAGTCTCCACTCCCTCATCTGTAAAGTGGAGCTCACAACCCGGAGGCTTCAGGGAGTTGATATCTGCACCCACCACACGCTGCTGCTGGCCCGTAACGCGTAACCGCTCTCATTGGGACTTTGGTTCAACTTGAGAATCGTAGGCAAGAGAAGGCCAGGAGACTCTGGCCTGCAGCTCCCATGGCCAGAGCTCCTCCTGGGAAGGCTTGTCTTGAGTGAGCGTCATTTGTGCGACCAGATCACACTGAGGCGGCAGTTCTGAGTTTTCCACCATGACACGCATGATGGGTGACACACATATGCCGGACCCATGACCCAGCATCCTGTCTGTAACTGCCCCCAGAACAGGGGTGGTGGTGGTGTGTGAGTGAGATTGATGATGCATTAATTTACCTTTTGAAAAGTGTATAGTTGGCAACTTTAATACTTTTTTATTGGTAGCAGATTTTTGCCACACATGTCATAACTGCAACCCACGGGGGCAGTCCCAACCCTGAGGCTGAGAGCTGCTTCCATGCAAGGGTCTCCTTGCCACCATCAGAGTTGCTGGTGAGCAGTGTCTCGGCTCTGCCAGGTGTTCCAAGGTGTGAATAGCTGAGGGACATGAATTGTAGTATACTTCTCTTCTCAGGTACGTATAGTATATATGTAAATATATACTATATTAAAAAATATTTTTCCCACAAAGAGCTAGTGACTAAAAATATATGAGTGTTAAATGTTATATTGAGAAGGAAAACTCGTGAAAGCATATGGAAAAAAGTTAAAATATTTACTTCCTTTATAATCCTCAGCTCTTACTAGTTTAAGTAATCCTGGTTCCTCTACCCCGGCACAGGGAAAAGGCCTCTTTTTCTCACCACAGCTCTGGGTCCCTCTCATCATAGCCTTTGCAGGGCACCAGGATGTCTACTGGCGTAACACATGGGGCTCAGGGCCCTTGCTGGCTTCCTCTCTTTTGGAAGGAGATTTCTTAGAGCCCATCAGAGGGGACCCCAGGGTCCCACCCGACACCGCGCCTCTTCCCCTTGCCACACAGAAAACAAGCCAGTGTGTGACCTGACTTGAGTTAGACTTAGAGGCCAGGAGCTGAGTGAGTAGAAGAGAATCGTTTCTCTTTCCCTCCACTTCTGTCCACACTTTCTCTTCAACAGTTTACGATTTACAAATACTTTTTCCTCGGTAAACGTTAGACAGCTTCCCCAAAACTTTTAAAACTGCCTCCAACTTGGCTCCTTCAGCAAATGGGCCCCACCAAGGCCTGTCTTTTCTACATCCATAAAATGTGATTGCCTCTTGCTAGACCTGGGACTCCCTGTCCCCTAAAGGAACAGAGTTGGATGGCGGCAAGGCCTCTGCCAAATTGTGTGAGAACACGCCCAGGTGTTTAAGCCAAAATCCAAGAAGGTTTCTTCCCAAACGGAACAGCCGGCAGGAAGCTGTGAGTTGAGGTGGCCTGACCGTGGTCTGCTGGTGGCATGGGGTGCTCCCCTTCCCTGGGTGAAAGCCTCGGCCCTCCCTCCTCCACTGGGTGGGAATTCTTCCACCTCGGCCCTGGTGGGACCAGGGCATGCTCACCACACACACACACACACACACACACACACGCGCGTGCGCGCACGCGTCTGCGCCACCCTGTGCTAGGGTGTTTGTGGCTGCAGGGTACCGCTGTGAACAGGGCAATGCCCAGAGACAGCCAGTGTTCCCGTGTGTGCTCACGTGTGCCCCCAGAGCGTGCACATGCAGATGGAAAGGGTCTGCCTGCGTTTGTGTGAATGTGTTCATGGGCTGCTGTCCTAGAGCAGTTGACCCTGGACCGACCAACAAGGGGGTTGGGGTACTGACCCCTCGTGCAGTTGAAAATCCGCGTATAACTTTTTACTCCCGCAAAACGTAACTGCTAATATCCTACTGTTGGCCAGAAGCCTTCCTGATTACGTAATTAGTTGATATGTATTTGGTGTGTCATATGTATTATAAACTATACAGTAAGCCCCCTACATACAAACGAGTTCTGTTCCAAGAGTGCATTCATTTTAAGTCCAATTTGTTCATAAGTCCCAGAAAATTAGCCTAGGTACCCAACTAACACAGTTGGCTCTATAGTACTGTACCGTAATAGGCTTATAACACTTTTCACACAAATAATACATAAAAAACAAGCAAACACAAAAAATAAAGAAAACATTTTTAATCTTACAGTACAGTACCTGGAAAAGTACACCAGCCATGTGAACTAACTCATGTGATTGGACATGGGAACACACGTTCATCTTTGAAAGTGTGCAACTTGAAGGTTCATATGTAGGGGACTTACTGTAGTCTTACAATAAAGTAAAAACCAGAGAAAAGAAAATGTGAAGACAATTATAAGGAAGAGAATATACACTTATAGCAATATACTGTATTTATTGATACTGTAAGTTTACATTGTTTTTAAAATGAGTCATCTATCAGTACATCAATATTGTCTTACATGATACAAAACACTGTAGCTGTTACATGTATTACTAAGACTAGACATCAAAAATGAAAAGATCATGTGAAAAAGAAATTCGTATTTATTTACAGGTATAGTGTGCATGCGTTGATAACAGAGAAGCTAGCAATGGTTGCCTAGCTTATCTAATGAATGAATCATTATAAAGGTTTTATGGCATGCAGTATTACAGTCATATTCAAAATATGGTATTAGAAACATTGTTACATTTTTCTAAAAACCTCTTACCTGTGATGATAGGCTGATAGGCATTTTCTCCAATTGGGAGAGAAAGGCATACTGTAGGGTAATGTGATTCTTTGAAAGCAAAGTTGTAGAACACTAAGAAAACGAACGCATTATTAATATTATATCAACTATCACCCACCTGACGCCAGTGTGAGGACAGGCTGCTGCCTTAGGACCAGTCTTGCACACAGTGTTCTACACGATGAATGCTGAGGCGGTAGTGATGGTGACAACGCAGAAACGGCTCAAACGGTTGCTGCCATACAGTTACTAGATTTTCACATGAAATCACTCATACACATACACAGCAGATAAATCCTGGCCCACCATGCAGGCCCCAGGATAATTACACGGAGGGGGAGACCTCTCCCACCCTCAGCCTTGGTCTCTGGGTTGGGAGAGTGGACACCTGAGCTCTGGGCTGCGGCGCTGGGACTGGGCTGGTGGAGGGGGCGCCACCCCGGGTGGCGCCAGGCTGGTGCACGTGCTCTGTGACGTGTCTCCCCAGCCCAAGCTAGAGGAGCCCTGAGCTCCCCACCCTGACGCTGTGCTCGAAAGAGCCTTAATGAAACCCACCTCCCAAAGGGGCTGCGTGTTCTCGTGCCCACAGGGGCCCCGTGGGGGAGGCCTGGCCTGCAGCGCTCCAGTGGCCAGGGGACCAGGATGGGTAGGCGGGGCCCCTAGCTCCTGGAGGCACAGTGCCTCGCCAGGCCCCTTCCTCCCTCCCTGCTGACAAGCGTCCCCGGCAGGCGCGCCATGAAGTACACGCTGTGCAGTGACAACCATGGCATCAAGCCTCCCACCCCGGAGCAGTACCTGACCCCCCTGCAGCAGAAGGAGGTGTGCATCCGGCATCTGAAGGCCCGGCTGAAGGACACGCAGGACCGGCTCCAGGACCGGTAAGCGGGTGGCCAGGGAGGGCCCTGCAGTATCTCTGGGAGGAAGGCGTGGCTGGGGGCTCCTCAGCTGCTCCTTGAAGCATCAGGTAGCTGCTTGGGGCCAGGCTGGGAGCAGTTTCCCCTGCGAGGGTCTATCAGGCCTCCCACCCACGGCAGTGCTCTCCCAGTTGTAGCCTGGCAGCCCCATTTGGCCACTTCTCGTGCCCTGGCTCCTTTCTACCTGGGGAGGAGCGGCACAGGGCACTCTTCCTGGCTGACCTGTCTCTGTGGGGGAGAAACAACCCCTTAACCCTCCTTTGCTTCCTCCCAGGGGGTCACCAGGGGCTCGTGACCCACCAGTTCAGGCCCCAGAAGCCTTCCTCCTCATCCACGTATAGATGATGTAAGATCGTGAGAAACCTTCCTCTGAGCTCCCACCCAGCCCAGGGGTCTCCCAGGAGCCCCCGTGGGCCCGTCTGAGCTCGTTCTCCAGACCTGATCCTCCCGGCCTCCCAGTTTCCAGACTGGCGGCTTCATCTTTACGATCGAAGCTTCAGGGCTGCCCTCTGATCTCTTCATCACCTACCCGTCTTCTCCAGACTGTGTCAATTCGGATACGCAGCCGACTGTGAGCTGGACAGGGTGCCGTGCAGGGCGCTGGAGGGCAGGCGGGGAGGCCACCACTACCACGCCTTCCTTCATCTTTTCTTTCGTTCGTTCTTTGTAATATAACTGCTTTATTGAGATGTAATTCACATACCATACAGTTCACCTATCTAAAGTAAACAATTCACTGATTTTTAGTGTATTCACAGAACGGTGCAACCATCAACAGTATCTAATTCTAGAACAGTTCCATCACTCCAGAAAGAAACCCTGTTCCCAGTAACAATCACGCTCCATCTCTCCCCAGCCACGCCGTCCCTGGCAACCACTAATCTTTCTGCCTCTGTGGATTTGTCTATTATATTCCATGTAAACTGGAGCACACAGTGAGCGTGACCGTGTCTCTCTTGACCAGAGCTCTGCCAGGTAGCTGATCCAGTTTGTATCTGTTGTGTTTTTGAACTTGGAGAGGGTAGAGGTGGCATTCTGTGGACCTCCTTGTCTGTAGAGCTAGGATTTCTATTTATATTTCCCACTGTCTTCTCACTGATGCCCTGCGTCTGCTTGGCCATTTACACTGATGTCCTCAGGAAGCAGACAGCCCATCTCCCTGCTTCCTTTCTAGGGCTGCCCTGTGGCTCAGAGCAGACAGTCTGCCCTGTGTGGTTTGGGCAGGACGCCCTGTAGTGGACACGCCTGCACCTCAGCTCCCCGGCCTCTCCACCTGATACTCTTGTAGTACCTGTGGCCATTCTGTACTTGCTGTATTGTCAGCCTCCTCACAGGCTCTGAACATTCAGTCTGATACCTCTCATTCCCGCAGTAGCCTACTTCCCCCTCAAAGAAGGAGCTCTGCTTCTACACTCTGTGCTTTCATATATTGTGTCCCCACTTCTAAGATACCCTTTCTCTCATCTTGCTCCCTTGGAAAACTCATCCTATAAGACCCAGTTCAAATGTAACATCCTGCAGCCCCCTGAGACCTAGACAGGGCTGGGAAGCCATAGCTCTGGGGTCCTGCTGGCTCCCAGGAGGAGTGGGGCCCAGCTGAGCTGAGCATGCCCAGTCCCTCCTTTCAAACTCACTCTTCCTGCCAGGGCTCAGAGTCAGTGAGGAGGGTTATCCTAGAATGAGCCCCCCACCCTGAGGCAGGAGGAATGAACGCTATCCCCACACGTGTGGGGATGTCTCTTATCATGGCTCTTGAGCAGCTCCAGGTTCCTGCTGCCATCCCACGTCCATCACCAAGCTGTATCCTGTTGGGCAGCCCTTCCCCTCCTTCCCCTTCCAGTTGATGCCATTGCTGACCTTGTGGCCACTGCAGCCCTGCAGGCCCAGTCCCTTCAGTGTTTTGTGGAGTGAGATTCCTGGGCCCATTTCCCGAATTTCTAATTTGACTTTGAAAAGTGCATGGTGCTTCATCTGGGTTGGTCACTCTGCTGGACTCATAAAATCCAAAGTGATGGTCGTGCCTTTTGGATTTTATTTGTGTGAATGTAGGGTTTGGGCTGAGTGGCTGCGTGTGGGCCGGATCACTAAGACGTTTGCCAAAGGAGGAGCACCCAGGGTGGGAGTTCAGTCCCATGAAGGAGTCTCCTCCTTTCTCACTGCTTTTGGTGCATCCTGTTCAGTCTCACCCTGGCTTCACCTCTGGACTTGATGGCATCATTTTCTACTTCACCTCCTTCCCCTGCACCCCCTGGATTCATCTATGCCCCAGGGATTTTAAAAGCCTGCGAGTTTCTGGACAAGAGTCCTCTGACCGTCTCGTTTGCCTGCTCTTGCCTCTTCTTTCGGGAGTAGCTCTGTGCCCTTTCCGGCAATCTTCTGGGTCTTCCCTCTCTACAGTAGGTACAGAGAGGAAACATGTAGCATGGATAAAGGACAGCCACTCTGTTCGCATCATTCTCGTCTGATTCATCCACCACTTCTCACCCTCCACCTGAGGGAAGATGTAAAATTATCCGCTACCTTCAAGGCAGTAATTTCTCTCATAAAAACGAAGTGGATCATCACTCCCTCCCCGGGGTCTCTGGCCAAGTAGCCCTCCACTGAAAATTTCCACCACCGGCTTTTGTAGGAGGCCACATCCATTTCTGCAGAGTAGAGATTTTAGGTTTAGTTTTTGTTGTTTTATGTTAAGATTTTTAAATGGATGTATTACGTTTTTATAGCGGTAGCATCTTTAAACTGAGAATCTTTATCGTCTACTGTCTTCTCTGGGTAGTGGATATAAATGTGGACAGTTGTCTGCATTTTGGCTCTAGAGGGTGGGAAGGAGATGGTGGCTCATTCTTGTCCCTGAAGAGGAGGTCTCTCGTGTCCTGAGCCCTGGCCCCTCTCCCATCCCCACTGCTTCCCCGATGGAGTAAAGAGGGTGAGGAAGGAACTCTGAGTCGTTCCTTTGTTTTCAGCTCTGAGGGGCAGCAGCAAAAGGCCCTGTGTCCTTGGGGACAGCCCCCTCCTTGTCTGTCCTTGGTGACGGTGACAGGCCAGGCGGTGAGCATGTGTGTCTCATCTGCTCACAGGGACACGGAGATCGATGACCTGAAGATGCAGCTGTCGCGCATGCAGGAGGACTGGATCGAGGAGGAGTGCCACCGCGTGGAGGCCCAGCTGGCCCTGAAGGAGGCCCGCAAGGAGATCAAGCAGCTCAAGCAGGTCATCGACACCGTCAAGAACAACCTGATTGACAAGGACAAGGGGCTGCAGAAGTACTTCGTGGACATCAACATCCAGAACAAGAAGCTGGAGACGCTGCTGCACAGCATGGAGGTGGCCCAGAACGGCTTCGCCAAGGAGGACGGCGCCGCCGAGTCGGCCGGCGGGTCCCCCGCCCGCTCCCTTACCCGTAGCTCCACCTACACAAAGCTGAGCGACCCCGCTGTCTGCGGCGACCGCCTGCCGGGTGACCACCCAGGCGCCTCTGTGGAGGACGGGGCTGACAGTGGCTTCGTGGCGACCGACGACACTCTGAGCCGGACGGATGCACTGGAGGCCAGCAGCCTGCTATCTTCGGGGGTGGACTGCGGCCTCGAGGAGGGCTCCTCGCTGCACGGCTCCTTCAGCCTGGGCCCCCGCTTCCCCGCCAGCAACACCTACGAGAAGCTGCTGTGCGGCACGGAGGCCGGCGTGCAGGCCAGCTGCATGCAGGAGCGCGCCATCCAGACGGACTTCGTGCAGTACCAGCCGGACCTGGACACCATCCTGGAGAAAGTGACCAAGGCCCAGGTCTGCGGGACAGTCCCCAAGTCAGGGGACAGGTGCCCGGAGTTGGATCCCCACCCCCTGGGGCCCAGAGACCCCAACTCTGCAGTGGTGGTGACGGTGGGTGACGAGCTCGAGACCCCAGAGCCCATCACGCGGGGGCCCACCCCACACCACCCCGGTGCCAACCCCAACCCGTCGGTGAGCGTGGCGTGCCCCGTGGAAGAGGAGGAGGAGGCGGCCGCAGCCGAGGAGGAGCCCAAGAGCTACTGGAGCCGCCACTATATCGTGGATCTGCTGGCGGTGGTGGTGCCAGCCGTGCCCACGGTGGCCTGGCTCTGCCGCTCCCAGCGGCGCCAGGGCCAGCCCATTTACAACATCAGCTCCCTGCTGCGGGGCTGCTGCACCGTGGCCTTGCACTCCATCCGCAGGATCAGCTGTCGCTCGCTGAGCCAGCAGGGCCCAAGCGCCAGCACTGCTGCAGGCGGCAGCTTGCAGCTCTGAGGCCCCATCCCGGCCCGGGCTCCGGAGGCCTGACTACCGATTGTAGGGGTGCCGTCCTCCCTCTCGCACCTTCCCGTGGGGCATCATCTTATTTATTTAGTTTTGGGTTTGGAGGTGGTGTTTCCAGAATGGTGACAGTGTCAGGGGCTGGGAGCGGGGGGTGGGGGAAGGTGTCCCAAAAGTGCAACAGGAGAGAAGGGAAGAGAGACCAAGGGCAGGGAGGCACAGGGATGGGACACACTGCAGAGAAAGAAGGTGGTGAGGCCCCCAACCTGGCCCCCCTGCCCACCTGGCCTCTCACACAGGGCAGCCCCTGCTCAGGAAGTCTCTGGTGTGCTGATCTGGGGAGGCCGGGCTTAACTTGTGTGCCAAGCCTCCCCGTCCCCCACCCCCATGTCCTGTCCAGTTCCCTGCCCACCCCAAGCCTTCTCTCCCAAGCCACCCCTTGCCCTCAGCCCAGGCTTCTGGGCCGGTATTACCTCCTCAGATGGAGGCAGCTGCGACCCAAAGTACAGGCAACTGACCGGGACTCCGAGCGGGTCTGGAACCACTTGGCCTGGGCTGAGCTCCATCCCCTTCCGGCTGCTCCCCGCTTTGGGAGCACGGTCAAGGCCATGGGCTGGAGGAAAGATGGTGATGGGCAGAGGGCGGTGTGGGTTCTGTGTCTGTCTGTTCGTCCCAGAGCTTCCCGACATCTGTTTTCCTCCTGGCGCTTCTGAGTGTGTCAGATAATTTTGTGAGAGCCAGACAGGCGAGTGCCGGGGTGTGAACGCTAGCCTGAGCCCAGCTCCTGTCTGGAGACACTGCCAGCAGGAAAGGAGGAGGCGGGGGCTGGCGGCTTAAGGGGGCAGCTCCGGCCTTCTGAGACAGGGCCCTGCAGCCTGGGAGGCAGGGCTAGACTCAGCAACCACCAGCTGACTGCTCCAGGCCTGGCTGCCCTGGAGCTCGCCCTGGTTTATCCGGGGACCTTAGGACCGACTTCTGCTTTGCACTGTGTTCACTTTGGGGCTTGCTTCTCACGCATCCCAGGGTCTCCTGTGAGGTGGCTGCTTGCTTTCTAGGATGAGGATTCCTAAATCTTACACCTTTCTGCCTCTGAGGGGAATTCCAGCGGGATGAATGGCAAGATGAGGTTTTGAAGCCATCATGTCCGTCCAGGCCTAAGCAGGGTGTCCTGGGATGTTTCCCAGGTAGGGGGTGGAGTGGGGCTCCCAGCCCAAGCCCAGTCAGCCTGGGAAGGTTCACTGGCTCCCCCTCCTTCCCCGGGACCACATCTAGGTCCCTCTGCAAAGCTGCTGACATGTTATTTGCATTATTATTTTACAGAGTAAACCCATTCCTCTTCCTCTGCAGGGCTTATACCTATCTCGTCATCCCACCCACTCTTCAGAGTTAGGCCCTACATTGTGGCGGGGGGAGGGTGTTGGTGGGACCCTGTATCTCACTCACCCCTCTGGCCTAGGGGCCACTCTGGTTCTGCCAAGGTTGCTTGCCCACCCCCGCTGCTCCGACAGCTGTTGCCTGACGCATGGGCTCTGCCCTTCCTCTCTGTGCCACCTACTTGAGGGGGGATGCCTGCATGCACTGGGGGTGGGCAGCCGGCCCAGCCATCGTGGGGAGAGCCCCTCTGCCACGCGCTTTGTGCCTCCAAAGCTCCCCTTCCTCGCTCTGGGCCTCAGACCTGCCATCCTTTGTGGAGCACCCCTCCACCCCAGTCGAACCAAACCCAAACTCTGGGGGCCGGGCAGGGCTGCCCCACAGGACCTGGGGATCGTGACGTGGAGGGGCAGTGGAAAAACCCAATCCAAAGCCAAGCCAGGACTGGCTGCGGACCCCGCCTCCCGTGCCGCGTAATCACGGAGCTGCGTGGTGTCTCCTTAGAAATAGTCAAAAGCTTTGCCGAGAAAATAAATGTATGACTATTATATTTGACAACGTAAAATCTATATATTTTTCACCACTGGAATCTAGTCGAGCTGCGTAGCCCCTCTGCTCCGGTCTGCGTCTTGCTGTCTGTGGCCTTCCTACTGTGTCCTGTGTTTTGATGGACGTGGTCAGGGCCGGGGCTGTGGTCCGTTCTGTCCCTGATGCTGGAGGAGCCACTCGTGAAGAGCGTGGACCGAGGACTCTGGACAAGGTGAGCGGAGCTGGCACCGCCCTCTGCTCCTGCTGTGGCTCAAGACCTGCCTGTCTGGTCAGAGGGCCTCCAGCCCACAGTGTTGGGGGTGCCTCTCTTTTGGGGGGTCTGGTGGGACCTTGACGGGCTTTGCCTCTTGTCGGTGGAGGAGGCAGCTCTCTGGCCCAGGCCTGGGACAGACGCTGGGACCGTGTCGGCCAGGCCCCGGCTTGTGCGTGTGTGTTTGTGTGTGTGTGTGTGCTCGGTATCCTGCATCTATGCAAAAGGGGCAGCGCTGCCTGGGCAGCTCCCAGGGGCGGAGGCGGAGGCGCAGCGGCCCACGGGCTCAGGCTCCAAGCCCTGACTGCAGGACACAGGATGTGGGACCAGGAAGCAAGGCCAGGGCCCGGGGGCCTCCCGCTAAGTGCTCATCCTCCAAGGCTCCCCTTTTCCTTCCTGCTTAATACCACCTCCTGCTGGGCTGTGACCTTTCCCTCCCGCCCTCTGCTTCTGCAGCAGAGATCTTTGGGGTCTCCCCTGTCCCCAGCCTCTGGCCAGAGCTGATTAGATCCTAAGGGACCATGTTCTCAGGAACCACCTTCTGGAACTGCTGGTCCCTTGGGGTCCCACCTCCAGAAGTGGCTTCTCCTAAGCTATAAGGTCCAGGCCAGAGCTGCTTTGCTGCTCCTCTCGTCCAGGCTCAAAGCAGAAATCAGTCTGGGGCCGGGACTCTGCTCAGAGAGCTGGCCTCAAATGGAGTTTATCCCAAATATCTCCCAAGGGGATAACTTAGCTTTTCACTGAATACCCTTCCCAGTCGCCACTAGCACAGGGGTATCTGGCAGCACCTTGGGGGGTGGGGTGGGGGCAGATGACAAGGTTCTGGGGTAAAGGCCTACAGAGGGGCCTCTGCCCAGGGAAATCATTACCCCCTCTGACCTAGGAATCAGTGCACACAAGTCACAGTGCACTGCTACATTCAGCCATGCCCATGTATCAGGGGATACAGGAAGGGGGGAGGTGGGGAGGGGTCTTCACTTTTGTCTTCTTTGTCCTTTTGATCAGACAGAGTTGTACCTACAGCAGACAGCTCTGAATTAAAGCATGAAAACACAACAAGATCCTTGGCCTGTTTTCTTTATATTGTATCTTTTGGGGGTGGGGGCGAGGGGGATGAAGGGGGCTCACACTTGTCCCCACCTGCATGGGAGTCATAACACGCATCCTGGGAAAAGCTGAGCAGACAGATCTTCCTGAGGTTGAGGGAACCAGAGAGCTGCGTGCTTCTGACTCCCCTCCAGGGGGTCACTTGGCGCACCCCACGCCCCCCGTCAGACCCGTGGGGCCCTGTAAGTGCACGTGTTCCATCCTCTCCAGCACCCTTGAAGTGGTCCTCACGCCCGTTCTGCAGATGCGGAAGCCAGCTGCAGTCGCTGAGCAGGGGTGCGCAAAAGCCAGGGCCCCCTTCCAGGGCCCCACACTGTCCCCCTCTAGTCACCCATGCCCCGGACCGGCGGCATGTGACGGTGGCAAAGCCCAGTCACTGCTCTCAGAGGCAATATGTAGCAAAGGCCTTGGTCTCACCACTGCTTAAAAGAAAACCAGCTCTGGCATGTCATGAGACAGAAGATTCTGGAATTTCAGTTACTTTTGAGGAAGGGATTTTATGTAAAATCAAATCTTTATTCAAAGACAGTGACGGGTTATAACTAAATACAGTTTGTGACAAAGAACAACTAAAGGAAAAAGAAACAATTCTCCCAAAAAAATGTATTTGTCCTCTCAAACCGTGGAAATGTTTTACTGGTAGAGGCAAAAGTTTGAAAGGGACCCAGCTGCAACTTTAGGAAGTGTTTAGTCGGCCTGCCTACGTGCCCAGCATTTAAATCGGCTCAGAGAATCACTGCCTGTGGGCCCTGCCCCTGCCTTAGCCCAGTTAAGAGGCTGAGGCTCCAAGGAGGCCAGTGTGTATAAAGGACAGGCCCATGTGACCCAATGTTGCCCCACCCAGAACGCGCCCGCCTGGAGACAGCCCCGCCCCCAGGCAGAGGCCTCCTCAGTCTGTCCCCTGAGGACTCTCCCCTTCCTGCTGGAGGGTGAGAGGGCTGAGCTGCTCTCCCGTGGCTTCAGATGTCAGGGATGGAGTGGTCCATGGTGTGGTGGAGCAGGGCTGGGGACAACCTAGATACAGCAACAAGGACAGTCGCCAACACTGGCAGCACCTCCCCCCATCCCCGCAAAGCCTGTGCATGCCTTGTGGACCCTCACTTCCGAGTCTAAGACCTTCAAATCACCAGAAGCCACTGGCTAGCGTGAAGGGAGGCAAGGGCAGGAGAGCAGAGGGCAGGCTGGTCTGGGCTCTGCAGGAGCCTTGAGGAAGCCGGGGTGGACGGGAGGTGGGGAGCTGAGGGGGGAGGGGCAGGAGGGGACCAGCCTTACTTTCTGACCATGTGCGCATAGATCACAGTGGGGATGATGGCCAGGTTGATGACGTTCCCGGCTGTGGCCAGAATCTCCATGACTTCTTTGTCCTGGAGAAGGGGTGAGTGAGCGGTCACCCCGGGGGCCAGGGGAAACTCTGAAGGCACCTCTGTGGAGAGGTCAGCACGGCCCCCGCTGAAGGATGCCACTGACATTCTGACATCAGGGACAGGGCTGCCCCTCAGGTGAACAAGAACGTGGGCCTCCCACCTAAGGCCCTGTCAGTAAAATGAGCGTGCCCCTCCCCCCCTCAGCTCCAGGGCCTGTGTGGGCCTGACACCTAACAGGGCCTCACAAACGTGACTTTCCCCAAAGAGCCCTGGGAATCTCACCAAGCACACATGTATGCCGTTTCCCAGGACCCCGTCACACTCGGGTTCTGGACCCAAAGCACAAAGAGAATAACCGTGCAGTGGGGGCACAGCAGGGGCTCCCCCACCCTCTTCCCTGGGCTCCTGTCAGCCTGAGCCGAGCCCATGTGGTACTTCTTCCTCTTACATCTTGTCGACTAGTGAAAAGAGAGGCCCGCAGAAGCCATTCAGATCATGGGGAGAACAAGAAACAAAAGACGTCTACACAAAGTGTGCCAAACAGTCCAAAGACAAACGCTATGGCCATTAGAAGAGCCTCTGGCCCTTACTCAGACACCATGACCTTTACTTTACGCAGGTGTCTAACCCAGGTATGTGTTTTCTTAGCTGTTCCAGGATAAATGGGAGAAGATGTGCTAGGTGGGACTAGTGATGGCCACAGAGTAGAAATAGACAGACCTTTGAGAAGATAAATGATCTCAAGAAGCATAGCTATCCGGGGCTATTCAGCAAAGGGACAGGCCCAGTCCTTAGAGCCTTACGCCATTGTTTGGTAGGATAACTGATAAGTTCATAGTGAAGCCTTGAACCATCAGTGAGGACGAGAGAATCTGCAGCACATTTTACAAGGACTGCTCTCCAGAACAGTTAAGAACAAAGAACTGTCATGCTTTGAAAGGAGTGGGTTCACTAACACCCAGTAGAGCCAGCCACTCGGAACTGGTGTTACTGCACTCAGCCTTTTAGCTACAATGGATTCCCTTTGGATTGTCATGCCTGATCCCCAAGGAAGGGGAGAGATGCAGCAGGAGGGATGTCAGACAGACATTAGGAAGGACTTGCTGATCACAATGCTCATAAGCCAGCAGAACAAGCCTCCAAGGAAGGTGGGGAGACTGTCAAGCACAGGGAGGAAGATGTGCAACAGGAATGGTGATGGTGATGGCCCTTGTGAAGCGGAGGAGAACTGGCTTAAAAGACTGTGCCACCTGTGGAGTGAGATGCCACCGCCCAAGAAACCTCTACCCGGGGAGCCCTACCTGTGAGCCCCAAAGCCCTGGCTGCAGCAGGGCAGGGACCCTCACTCTAAATCACAGCTGGGATTAAGGAGCACTCTCGGTCCTGGTGGTATCAAGTCGGGATAAACCACTCTCACTTATCCAGGGACCAGAAGCGGCGTGACTCATCCTCCTCCAGGGTCCATTCCCCAAAGGCACCCACCCCCGAGTCCAGGTCACAGCACTGGGCCTAGATCACTTGCTCCTTCTGTATTTAAAGATAAAACTCGCCACGCAAACCCCCTTGGGAGGGCAAAAAAAGGAGGTCAGAAATGGACTTCTGAAGAGCAATTTTCTAAGATATTCCTATTACTGAACAAGATCCAGGATACAAACAGAAGTGCCACACAGAGTAGGGAGGTGTCCATGCAGCCAGGAGCCACCTGGGCACCTACGTCCTTACACAGGTCATCAACTCCACCCCCACCCCCACCCCCCGGCTCCCTGTCACACCTCTGGCCTCCACGTGTAAGTAACAATCGCTTGTATTTACTGAGCAATTACTTTGTGCATGCGCTGTGCTCGAAGCTCTGTGTACCTTGTCACATCGAATCCCTGTAGCAGCCTTAGGATGAGGAACGGAGGCTGGGGTGGGGGCAGCAGCCCACCCGCAGACACGAACCTGCCCACCACCTGGCGTGTCCCAGCCCCTGACGTCCCGGGACAGAGCCACTGCTCTGCCTAGCTTACCTTCAGCCCAATGACGTTCTGCCCATTCACCTCGCACACGTAGTGGTTGATGAGGAGCCCGTTGCGGGCCGCAGAACTCCCTTTGACCAAAGAGATGATCTTCCCCTTCTTGATGACGAAGCCAATGTGGCCTGTGCTGTCCTTGTGCATGGTGACGGTCCGCTGGAATGGCCTGGCAGGGACGGACAGTGAGCTGGGCCTGGGGCGTGGCTGGGGGTGGACAGAGAGGCTCCTGGGACCCAGCTACTCACCTGTCCCGAACAACCATGACAATCTTCTCAGCCGACGCCTTCTTCACCACCCGGTGGGCTTTGTCTGTGCTCCACCCGACACAGTTGCGCCCATCAATCTGCAGGATCTGGTCCCCAAAGCACAGCCCCACCAGGGACGCGGGGGTGTTGGCCTGGACCAGCTGCACAAAGAGCCCCTGGGGGAGGCGGTCCCCACAGTCAGCTCTCCCGGCCCACCATGAGCCCAGCTCCCTCCTCCAAGCTGCTGTTTGCCTCCCGATCCTCCCAGAGCCTGCAGGGCACTGGGACTGCAGCTCTGCGCAGCAGACAAGGGCAACCCCATTTTCCTGGCGAGGAAACACTCCAGGCCACACAGCTAGGAAGCAACGGAGTCAGGAATTCAACCCCAACTGGAGGCCGCACCCCCAACCACTGGACTACAAGGCCTCTCACACTGGCATCCAGGGCCCCCAGCTTCCACTGTCAGCAGACAGCCGCCCAGAAGCCAGATCCCTTTGACTGGGGGACAAGGAGGCAAGGAGCCCACGGAGGGGCAGGTAGAGGATCCCTGGCGCAACCCAGAGCCAGCCCTCGGGCCTTGTAGGAGGGGCTTGAGAGGAAGAGCCTGGCCTAGGGGTCAGGTGGGCCTCGGCTCCCAGCCCGCGCAGCCCCTTCCTTACTGTGGATGGGGCTCCCTGCTCTGCCTCCTCTCCCGCTGGTGGACGAGGCGGCCAGAACCCCGGAGGCGCGCGGAGGAGGGCGGGCAACTCGGGCTGCGGGCAGGCGCTGTCCAGCACGCGGGCTCGCCCTCCGCCCTCCGCGGGGCCCTTCCTCTCCCCCCCGACCCCCAGTCCCACCTTGTCGATGGCCCGCAGCCGCAGCCCCGTCTTGCCGCGCTCATCCTTGCACAGGTGGATCTCGCGCACCCCGGGCTTGACCTCCCCAGGCAGCACGCCCAAGCTGTTCCCGGACACCGGCGCCACCACCTGGTCCGGTGAGGGGCCCGAGACCGCTGCCTGCAGACATCAGAAGAGCAGGCGGTCAGCCAGCGCCTGGGGCCTCGTGCCACAAGAGTCCCCGGGGTGGGAGCAGGGATGGGGTAAGGAGAATGGAGTGGACCCCAGGCCGCAGTCCACCCCAGCTCACACACTTTCCCGCGTGCGGGCGAGAGGGAACATGGCTCAATGACGCCACTAGGGGGCGTCAAAGTCCACACCCCTGAAAAACAGCCGGGAAAGTAGGGAGAGAAGAGAGGACAGGTAAATAGGAAAGGGGTCCTCGTTTTCCAAGGCAAACTGGGGTCAGGAGAAGAGCCCTTTAAAATCCACTTAAAAATAAAAGTTCCACAGAAAATAGTGAACGATGGGGGGAAATGGGCTCAATTTGATCTCTGCCTTGAAAAAAATTAAGGTAAAAGTACCAAAATGAGCGAGTGCTTTCCCCCCTAAGATCTGGAACAAGGTCAGGATGTCCACTCTCACCACTACTATTAAATACAGTAATGGAAAAACTAGCCAGAGCAATAAGGCAAGAAAAGGAAATAAAAGGCATATAGATTGGAAAAGAAGACATAAAATGGTCTCTATTTGCAGATGAGATGATACTTCACTAGAAAATTCCAAGGAATCTACAAGTAAACTCCTAGAACTCATAAGTGAGTTCAACAAGGTCACAGGATACAAGACCAACATATACAAAAAAACAATTGTACTTCTAAATACTAACAATGAACATGTGGAAGCTAAAATTAAAAATACAATACCACTTACAATCACTCAAAAAAAAAAAAAGAAATACTTAGGTGTAAATCTAATAAAACATATGCAGGAATTGTATGCTGGAAATGAAAAAAACACTGATAAAAGATATCAAGGAAGATCTAAATAAATAGAGAGATATTCTGTATTCATGGATTGGGAAAACATAGTAAAGCTGTCAACTGTCCCCAGATTGATGTACAGATTTAATGTAATTCTTATCACAATCTCTACAAGATGTTTTGTAGATACATGCAAGGTTAGTCTAAACTTTATATGAAAAGACAAAGGAACTAGAATAGCTAAAACTATTCTGATAAAAAGAATAAAACAGGAGAAATCACTCTACCAAATTTCCAGATTTATTATATAGCTACAGTAATTAAGACAGTGTTGTATTGGGGCGCGACAGACACATGGATCATGGAGCAGAAGAGAGAATCCAGAAATAGCCTCACACAAGGAGGGGCAACTGCTTCTTAACAGAGGTGCAAGAGCAATTCACTGGAGAAAGAAGAGTCTTTTCAACAAATGGTGAGGGAGCAACTGAACATCCGTGGGCAAAATGTGAGCACTGACTCCACAGGTTATACACAAATTAACTCAAATTCAACCATAAATTTAAACATAAAACTATAGCAGTTTTAGAAGAAAGTAAAAAGGAAAATCTTTAGGACCTAGGGCTCAGTGAAATTTCTTAGGACACTAAAGCATAATCCACAAAAGAAAAAAATCAATAACTTGGACCTCATCAAAATTAAAGACTTTTTGCTCTGCAAGAAACCCTTTTAATACGATCAAAGGAGAAACTACACAGTGGGAGAAAATATTTACAAATCAAATATCTGACAAAGGACTCTAGAATAAAGTCTCAAATGTTGACTTAAAAAAAACAATCCATTTAGAAAATGAGCAAAAGATATGAAGAAACATTTTACCGAAAAGAATATACAGCTGGTAACTGAGCACATGAAAAGATGTTCAGCATCACTAGCGTTAGGGAAATGGCAAATTAAGACAATGATAAGTCAATGCTACACACCTACCATAATGATTAAAATTTAAAATAGTGATAATACCAAATGCTGGCAAGGATGTGAAGAAACTGAAAACACTCATGCATTGCTGGCAGGAAAATAAAATAGCACAGCCATTCTGGAAATAGTTTGGCACTTTCTTTTTTAAAGAATTAACCATACATTTATAACACTACCTAGGAATTACACTCCTGGGCGTTTATCCCAGAGAAACAAAAACTTATATCCGTACAAAAAGCTGTACACAAACATCCATAATAGCTTAGTTTATAATAGACAAAAACTGGAAACAACTAAAATGTCCCTCAAGAGGTTAAACAAACTGGGGGTACAGACACACCATGGAACACAACCCAGCGATAAAAAGGAATGAGCTGTTGATACAGGCAACAGCCTCGAAGGATCTCCAGGGCAGGATGCTGAGTGGAAAGAGTCCATCTGAAAAAGTCACACCGCGTGATTCCACTTACATAACCTTCTGAAATGGCAAAATTATAGGGACAAAACCACGCTAGTGGTTGCCAAGGGGCTGCGGATGGTGAGAGGGAGGCTGGGAACGATTATGAAGGGACAACACTAGAGATTAGAGATACCCTTGTGGTGATGACATAGTTCTCTATCTTGATTGCGCTGGTGGTTGCAGGTGATAAAATGACATTGAACCACAGACACACATTGTACCAATGTAAAATGCCTGGTTTTGACGTTATAGTGTAGTTACATAAAACGGAACTACTGGGAAAACTGAGTGAAGAGTACAAAGGACTTCTCTATCTTTGCAACTTCCTATGAATTTATGATTACTTAAAAATAAAAAGTTAAAATGAAATAAAATAACTAAAAAATTTTAATTATAAAAATGCATTATCTGTCTTTTTTTTTTTTGCGGTACGCGGGCCTCTCACTGTTGTGGCCTCTCCCGTTGCGGAGTACAGGCTCCGGATGCGCAGGCTCAGCGGCCATGGCTCACGGGCCCAGCCGCTCCGCGGCATGTGAGATCTTCCTGGACCGGGGCACGAACCCGTGTCCCCTGCATCGGCAGGCGGACTCTCAACCACTGCTCCACCAGGGAAGCCCTATCTGTAATTTTTAATCAAAATTTAGGTTGTCCTAATTATTGGGCCAAAGAGGGATTAAATCGATGGATTAAAATTGGACTATATGCAACATGAGCTACTTTGCTTCTTGTGTGTACTTCCCTACATGACTGTCAGGAGGGTCATTTTGGAGAAACACCCCAGGGTGTCGCCAGTTTTTCTCAGGGTCCCACATGTCCTCATCCTTTCTGATTTTTCCTATGAAATCCTCATTTGTCAGTGTGGCAGTTCTCATCCTCATTTCCATCAATTTCATGAAATCCTGCGGCCTTAGTAAGATTTGCATTTGCACTCTGCAGTCGATTTGCACTGGACCAGGGAGGGGCTGGCAGACAAGGACACCTGACAGATGGTCCGCAGGGAGGCTGGAGCTGATTGGGAGAGGGTTTGGGACTGATTCTATAGGTGAATACATTTTCAGGAGTGAATATTTCAATGTTATGATTTCCTTTGCTCCCTGAAGCCATGCGGAGCAGGAATCAAGCGTTATTGTTTAATTTGGGGAGTGGGGCTGGATGACAAGCCCCTTCCCACTGGGCTCTGCCTAACCATGCAGCTGCTGTCAAGTCACAGGCAGCCCTTCAGTAGAAGCACCCAGGCTCAGGCCAGGCTTAATGTCCTCCCTTCTCCTCCAGCAGGCTCAGGCCAGCAGGTCAGAGGTCAAAGGGCAGGCAGTGGCCCTTCAGCCCCAAGGCCCTCAGGAAACCACGAAACCCCACAGCACTTTTAATGAAGGCTGAAAATACGAAGTGCCATCAAAAAACAGAGGCGCAGCAACGCTGGGGAAAGAGGAGATTCAAGTCTGTTTAAATGGTAAGACCAAGAAGGAGGGCCCACATCAGGCAAGAGACAAATACCTACACTGGCACCTTCTGGAATCTGAGGCAGGTTCTGCTGGACTTCGTGGCTGGAGAACGAAAGACCCATATAACCTTCCAATTCCGACAGGTTTGGATACAAAACTGATGGGAAGGGAAGGAAGGAAGAAGAAAGGTGTTACTCCGGGCCTGAGATTAGCCACACCTGCCTGGCTCCCAGGTGGTCACTCATTTTTATTAAGAAACAGGGCCTGGGGATGCTGTTTACTCCCAAGAATGCAGTATACCCCTGAGTTGGCTCTGCACTCCCAGGAACGCTCGCTGGCACTGTGGGTCCTCCCCTCAGACGGTCTGCTTTCTCCAGGAGCAGCCTGGGACGCTGAGTACCTCATGTATCACTTTGGTGTTCAATTTAACTGACTTTATTTGGCACCGGCCAGACCCGAGGGCAGATCTGGGGAACTGCATGGTGAGGAGGAGAAGAGCTGGGCCTGAGTTCAAGTTTGCTACCACGGGGCCTGAATCAGGACGGCCACGAGCAGCTCCAGGGCCACCACACACATCCTGGTCTCCACATGCAGCCTTCCTTGGTGGCCCCAAGTCAGGGCAGTCAGTGCCCTCACAAAGCTGCGGGTTTCTCAGTGTCCCCCTCTAAGGGTTCTAGGAAGGGTCAACCTGCATAGTGCCCACGGCTCAGCGGCAGGAAGGAGGCAGGCTCTCAGAAATGTCCAGCAGAGGTCACTCTCAGCCAGGAGAACCCCAGCCCACTCACTCACCTGACGGCTCGGAGTCTGTTCCCTGCCCCGGCAGGGCGGGCATCCTGGGTACGGCTCTGGCCTCGGCCTGGGGATGGATGGGGAGTGCCAGTCAGCTGTGGCCATGAGCCCCAGAGCCCTTGAGGCCTGGGGCTCCCTGAGGCTGGGGGTCAGGGCATTAGGTATGCTGGCGGCCTGAGGGGGGGTGTCCATGACCCTTGGAGTAAATATGGCCTCTGCAGATGTCCACGCTTCTGGAGGGAGGTTCTCCCAGGGGCCCGCGACCCACCAAATGTCACAACTCGTTTACTACTTGAGGCAGCCAAGGCAAATTTTCAGTCGAAAAGTCCCCAATTCTCAAAACCCACTAGGACCTCATGTGGGATGGAAGGAGAAAAGGGCTTCTGGGGGCTGAGTAGGCCAAACGCCACGGCCACGGGGTTTACTCTGGAAGCTTGTCCTAGAGCACGGGTTCTACACGAACCCGGATGGAGGAAGCTCTGGGATAGAGCAGGCACCAGACAGGCCGGTCTGCTGCTGCTTGGTCTTCTCCACCTGCTGTAATTCCATTGCCTTGGCCTCTGGACACCTGCTCTGCTCAGCAGGCCCTGCAGTGGGGACCTGCATGCCCTGGGGCCAGTCAGGAGCTCCCAGGGGTCCCCAACACTTGACCCAAGACAGGCCTCCCTTAGCTACCCTGGTGCAATCCAGAAGGCCCCGTCAGGGGACCCCAGGCTGGTAGCCTGGCACTTTACCTGCATGGCTTGGTCCACCTTCAGGTCCTCCAGAGATGGGTACAGGGTGGACATGGCTGCTCTTTGGAACACCCTGCAGGGCACAGAGGGTGAGGAGGGCTGAAGGCTGAGAGGAGGCACGGACGTGTGCCACTCAGCACTCTCAGGACGAGAAAGATGTCACAAAGGTATTATTATCCCCATTTTAGAGATGGGGGAGCTGGGATTTGACCCAAAGTCTTTTTGGTTCCCAAGCCTGTGCTCTCAACCCCGCAAAAATCCCATCCCACCATGTTCAGCCGACTCTGGGCTTTAGAACCTGAGACCCGGGGTCACCTATAGCACATGCCGACCAGGCAAAGCAGGATTGGGGGCCACGTCCTTCCCTGTCCTGTTTCAAAGGTCAGACAGGCTTATGAGGTCTGATCACTCAAGACCTAGATCCAGTCCAGCTGGTGGGTAGTGAGTACCTGCTGTATACCCGGGCACCGTTAGGGGTTTGCACAGCATCGCCCCACAACTACGCAGGGTTCAGTCCAGTGTCAAGTGGGCGGGGACTTAATATTACAACAGAAAGGCAGCAGGCGCTTTGGAAGTCCTCCCCAGCCCCCACACGCCTCTGCATCTCTGGGCATTTGAGCTCCTACTGCATACCAGCCATTTCCGGTCTCACTGGTGACTCTTGATCTTGACCACAATGAGGTAAGGCCAAAGGCAACTCTTAAAAACATGCACACAAACTGTAGCAGAATTTATACACTCAGCAGAGTATTGCTCCAGAGGGAGAAGGAAATGGGGGGAAGCACGATAAACATTTACTGAACGCCTTCTATCTGTCCAGAGGAGAACCAGGGACCTCGGAGCAAGGTACCAAAAGAAATTCAAAGAAATTACCTCCCAGAAATGCTTTATTTCCTTCCTAGTTGAAATGTGAGGAAGGAGCAGTTTGTCTTTCTGGATTCTTTTCCGTTTACCCACTAACACATTGTCTCTGTCACGTCTCCGGGCCTTTGTTGGGCCAGTCGTCACTAGCTGGATGTCTCTGCCCCGCCCTCCCACCCTGGCTTCTCAGACAATGAGGTCACTGCTGCTCCCAAGGGCCCTGCCCTCAGAAGAGACTCTGGGCCAGCCTCCGGCCCTGGACTCTTCAATCGTCCTCAGTCTGTCTTCCCACCTGAACTGCAGTTCCTTGGGGTCAAGGGGTGTCCTATTCACCCCACTGGGCCCACATTCTCCGGACCAGGTCCAGATCCTCTGGGCATCTCCCCTGAGTGACCCACAGGGGCTGAGGTCATCTTCATCCATCACTGTTCCTCGTCCTTCCTCTGTACCTGCTGCCTTGACCCTTGTATCAACCTTAACACTCCCCAACGACCTCCCCCATCCCTCCTAATCTGCCGTCAAACCCCATCTCTCCCCATCCCATCCCTAATCCCCATGCTGCCTGCAGACCTCCACCATCTCCCCGCCCTTCTGCAGGTACCACGACATCTCCAATGAGTCCTAGCTCCTCTATTGTTGTTCTCCAGCCGACAGGCCCTTTCTGCATGAGCCTGGAATGTCACGCCCTGCTGAAAACCCCCAGTGGCTCCACACTCTCAGAATCGAGCCCACGTTCCCTTTACGATTCCTCCAAAGATTGGAACTGGTGGCTCAAAGGCCAGACGCAAACATTGTAAAGCAATTATACTCCAATAAAGGTGTTTTTTAAAAAAATCTGTTGCCAAGTGCTTTATACATTCAAACTAGCCCCCTAAATGCATAACTCAAGACGCTGCTTTTTTTAAAATTAATTAATTTTATTTTTGGCTGTGTTGGGTCTTCATTGCTGCACGCGGGCTTTCTCTAGTTGCAGCGAGTGGGGCCTACTTTTCATTGTGGTGCGCAGGCTTCTCATTGCGGTGGCTTCTCTTGTTGCAGAGCACGGGATCTAGGCACGCGGGCTCCGTAGTTGTGGCTCAGGGGCTCTAGAGCGCAGGCTCAGTAGTTGTGGTGCACGGGCTTAGTTGCTCCGAGGCCTGTGGGATCTTCCTGGACCAGGGCTCGAACCCATGTCCCCTGCATTGGCAGGCAGATTCCCAACCACTGCTCCACCAGGGAAGTCCAAGACGCTGCTTTTAATAATCTAACTTCACATTGCTCCTGAAAAACACGACATTCTGGCAACCCTGGACCGCTGCTGAGTGGCTACAGCTGAGTCGCAGCTGGCTCCCGGGTGTCCCAGACCCCACCAGCCTCTGCTGTCTCTTACATCAAGACCGCTTTACTTACTGGCAGTGAGACCCTATAGACATTTGCTTGCACCCCCGCCCCCCGCCTAATTCTCCTGCTTTCTTTCTTTTTTTTTTTTTTAAAGAAGATGTTGGGGGTAGGAGTTTAATTAATTAATTAATTTTTGCGGTGTTGGGTCTTCGTTTCTGTGCGAGGGCTTTCTCTAGTTGTGGGAAGCGGGGGTCACTCTTCATCGCGGTGCGCGGGCCTCTCACTATCGCAGCCTCTCTTCTTGCGGAGCACAGGCTCCAGACGCGCAGG